AAAAAAGAAGGAAGAGATGTTGAGTGTCAAGTGGAAAAGAGAGAAGTTGAAGCAAAAAGCTGGATTTGTGTACGTTGAAATCAGTTGAAAGAATAGAGTTTGTAAAAAGAAAACATTGATGATTATAAGTTCTCACTGTCTAAATGTTTATTATTATTACTATTATTGAATGTCAACCTCTAAGTCATACTGTAAGCGCCTGAGTAAGAATGTTGCGACTGTCTCGACAGGACTTCCGCAGATGAGTCAGCATCAATGACTTCATTGTGCTCTACTAGCTCCAACATTACAAGCAATCCAGACAACTTTGCCAGATAATATATCCACATAGCATATCACACTGATTTAAGTAAACGAATGGTATAATTTGTAAGATGAGTCAGTTAATGGGTAGTTTGGAAATAGGAAGGACAGGGAGCTGGAACGAGGAGAAAGTGAAAAAAAAGAGTTGAAATAATGTTAAAAATTAATGAGTAAAGCGATAAGTTGGTAAGCAGGCAAGGTGTTTGCATGTTAATGAATTGGGGAAATAAAAATTAGTTAAACTGTTAATACTTAAATAAGAAGATACTCACAATGATACACGGTGTTTGAGTTCCTTGTAATTGACAGTAGCTGATCAGCATCTACAGGCTTTTCAATTTGTCTGTCTACTAGAAATAAAAACTAAAACTGCTTTGAAGATATGAAAATAATAATCGGAATTTAAATTCAGAGAAAAGTCACGGGTAACACTTCAAAGGCGTAACCTATTACTGTTAGTAGGAGCAGGGGGATTCGTCTATCATTTCATGATACATGTATGGGTGGTAATGAGAACACAATGTGTTCATAGTCTATAATTCGTTTCCGAGGTTCATCTAAATATTTGATGGACCATAAAAGAGTGCCTGGGGACTTTGTGTGAGTTCTGGGAATAGTCGATATATCTCTTTAGAGTCTAGCAACAGCATGACTAGTTTCTTGAACTTAGTGATTGTGTCACAAATACGGATAGTAATTGGTAACCTGTTCCACAGCAGACTGTATCGTATTACAAAGAAATTACAACGCAATAATTTCTTGTGTTTTGCCGTTAATAGTGTATATGCGTTGTTTCTAAGTCTGTAAGCAGTGTCGTGGTTCATAGTTGAGCGGTATTTTACGAACGAAAGACCATTTATTAGTTTATAGAGGAGCATTAGGTTGTTTTTGAGACGATGGCGCCATAGAGGTTCTAAGGAAAGATGCTTGCATCTTTCTGTGTAGTTGAGGTTATGGCTCAATCCGAGCAGTCGCCGGGTGAAGCTTCTTTGTACATTTTCTACTCGCATTTTGTCCATGATATTCATGTTTGAAAATATGAGTGAACAATATTCAAGTGTGGGCCTTATACAGATTTTGAAGAGAGTAAGCTTAGCCTCACTTGTGAAGAAGTTCTTGTTTATGAACCCAATTAGTTGTCTAGATTTAGAGATAATATTTGAGGCATGTTCTTCGAATTTTAGGCCTTGAGAGTAACTAATACCAAGGTCACGCGCTGATATGAGTGTCTGAACTCTACATTTTTGTAAGTAGAGTGGTGTATCAAGGTGATACTTACTAAAATGCATTATGCCGCATTTGTTGTGGTTAAACGGCAGTTGCCATGTCTCGCTCCAGGTACTTAAGTTATCAAGATCACTCTGAATCTTAGCTATATTTTCGTCCAGATCTTCAGGCTTATAGCTGTAAACTATTTTCAGATCATCAGCATATAAGTATGCTCTTCCAAATTTAATAGTATTACATATGTCATTTATGTACATTAGAAACAAGAGTGGACCTAAGACACTTCCCTGGTTAACCCCACTGATTATTGGTCTTGGTGATGAAAGACATTCGTTGTAGTTAATCATTTGTTGTCGCCCATTTAGAAATGAAGCTAACCATGAGTGCAGTGGGTTGATGATTCCAAATGACTTCAGTTTAAGTAGAAGCCTTCTGTGTGGGACTTTATCGAGAGCCTTTTTAAAATCGAAGAAAAGGATAGATACTAGAAGCCCTTTGTCTTGTTCATTCGTGATATCGTTGAAATAATCTAAAAGACATGTATCACACGACCTGGACCTCAAGAACCCATGCTGTGAGGTCGATATCAGATTGTTACTAACTAGACGTTGTAGTAACTCTGCAATAACTATTTTCTCGATGACCCGAGATACTACCGAAGTTATGTTTATAGGTCGGTAATTTTCAACGTTCGCTGTAGGCCCAGATTTTGTTGTGGGGATGATATGTGTAGTCTTCCAGTTATTAGGGTAACACTCTGTGAAGAGAGATATAGTAAATAGCTTGAGAAGAATAGCACTCCGATCATTGCTACCATTTTTTAGCATGCTGGCAGGGATACCATCTGGTCCTTCGATTTGGGAGTGTTTCAGTGTAGTAATCGCCTTAGAAATGTTCTGCACACTAAATTAAACACTGGCGATTTCAAAGTTATAATGACTGGTGACTTCAGTGCTCAAGTAGGTAGACTAAGTGAAAATGAAAGACACCTGGCTGGATGTTATGGTGTTGCGGCTCAGAGAACAAATAATGGTGACCGTCTGTTGCAACTGTGCTGAGATAACCGCCTATTCTTAGCAAATACTAACTTTGGGCACAAGGAAAAGCATCTTTTGACCTGGCAACTCCCAAAGTTGTCTCAACGATGGACCCAACTAGATCACATTGCCATCAGTCACCGATGGAGGTGTTTGATAGAGGACTGTCGCTCGTTGTGGGGCACATGTTTTGATTCAGATCATGCCCTAGTGCGAGCTCTTATTTGTTTGAGGCTTACTGGACGTAGGAAAGACACCGCAAAGAAACTTCTTAGGGTTCTACCTAATGATAGCATAGCGATAAGTATATTTCAGGAACAAATAGAAAAATAGTTAGGCGACCATGTAAGTGATTCCAATCCAGGGGCAGCTTGGAATGATACCTAAAAGGCTGTGAAAACAGCAGCGATATCTGCTAGGAAGGTAAAGAATAAGGCTAGGATGAAGCCCTGGATCTCAATAGCATCTACCGAACTGATGGATGCTCGAAAACTCATCCCGCCTGGCTCTGAGTGCGATGAAGAGCGGAGTCAGCTTAGACGTAGGCTGATAAAAAGCCTACGCAATGATTGAGAACAGTGGTGGGTGGCGAAAGCGAGAGAGATGGAAAAGGCAGCGGCGATAGTTAACACTAGACAACTTTTCCGACTTATTAGGGAAACCGGTACTAGAAATCCATCTGTTCGCGAAACTATCTCAGGAAAGAATGATTTTATCATTCATTCTCAATCCAGCAGATTGGATCGATGGGCGGAACACTTTAGGGATCGGTTCAACTGGCATTCAGCCTCATTTCAGTCAAACACGATTCCCAGTCATCCTGAATGGCAAATCGACGTACGTCCTCCTAGTCTTTGTGAAGTTGAGAAAGCTTTAGGAAATCTAGAGCGTGGTAGAGCAGCATGTCCTGATAGACTGACCCCTGGAATATTTAAGGATGGTGGTGCAGTTTTAGCAGCTAGGTTGACTGAGATTTTAGGTAGAATCTGGGAACTGGACGTAATCCCATCCGAGTGGTCTCAATCACTGATTGTCCCAATCTATAAGAAAGGACAAAAGTCTTTTTGTGACAATCACGGGGATATCAGTCGAACTAATGTAGTATCGAATATATTCGCCTGAATAATACTTCGACGCCTAACGAAAGCTCATTAAGTGCAGACACGAGAAAACAAGGCTGGACGTGGCTATATAGACCACATTTTCACATTACGGATCACAGACATACATTTAGGCGTCCTATAGTAGTTGTCTTCCTGGACCTAAAAGCGGCATTCGACTCAGTGGATCGTGAGGTTCTGTGGCAGCGTCTGTCATCGAAAGGTGTACCGAAAAATTACATTAACCTGACTGACTGATATATATGGCTCAGGGCGAAGTTAACCCCCAACATTGTTTGGTCTTCAAATCAAAATTTTTTAAATAATCTCGTATGCATCCTACTTTGGTTCCGTACAGCGAATTTGTATGATGATGCACAAATTTTTCAATCTCAAGCGTTAGTAGTAGGCACGAGAAAGCTTCGAACGTCGGTCTCACTGTGACCCTTCTTTATGTTAACAGTAATGCTTCGCTATTAAAATCGTTAGAATGCCAGGTCCAGATGATGGAGATGAGAGTCTCTGTCCGTCATCAGCACAGGCATGCCCAAAGTCGAGATTTCTATAAACGTCTGAAATGAATCTCACATGTGTTTGAGCAGCATTTATTAAACAGAAATGAATCACAAATATTCGTCGAGTCTGAGTGGAGTAATGATAGCTTTCTTAGGAATGTCTTCCATAGCCGTAGGGGTTTTGTTAAATGATTTAACGAAGTCAGTGTTTGAAGAGACAGTTGTGCCGTTCAAAGTAGCTATCAAATGTGAATGTAAGCCATCCGGCAACTATCACGTATGGTTTTCGTATTCGGTCGTCGATGGTCATCGGTTGAGCACCAATCATTACTGTCCTTTATTTGGATGCCCATGAGCTATCTAATGGTCGGTTAATCCCTAGATCTATCACGTAGTCGAATCCCCTTTTTGCAAGTATTGGCTTATGTGTTTTGTAAACTTTAGGGTACCTACTGAGTGTCAATTGAAAGAATGATGATGATCTGTGCATGATCTACACAGCGAATCAAACTTCACAAACAGACAAACCAACCTGAGTTTGCTTAGGTCAGCGATAAGATTATGGTTTTGTAGCAAGAACGTACTCATGATTTGACATGAACACTATTTACATCAAATCCGACCAAAGACTAGACTCTGGTATAAAGAAATGAATTAAATTGTACGAAGATACTAAATTTACACTGAGAAATGCTATTTCTAGTTGTGTACTCACGAATTCAAGACTAAAAAGGAAATGTTATTTCAATCTTTCGCGTTCCTGATAACTAATGTCCATTGAGAGCTGAGTTTGTTCGATATTCAGATATCACTCAGAGATCAGCTGTTGCGGTGCTTTTGAATCGGTAACCTTTAAATGACGGACGCGGTGGTATTTCAGTGCTTCTGTGTAAATTATGCCTAAGACTCCATGTGGTAGGTCATCAGACTGGCGGCTTCATATTCTCTTTGTCATAGTTAAAGATCTGATTTTCTGAATGTGGAATGCATTACATTAATTTTCGGTTGCTGTCTTTGAGGTGAAGTCACCACAAGACTGAAACTCCTGTCCTTTCAGTAAATACAAAGTATTATGTTCGGAGTTATTATATAAATGGTCAGATGTGTCACTATTTCGTGCTAACAATACGAAGTTTCTGAGTGCGGAACTTAGCTAATGAAACTCATTAAACATTAAATGATGGAGTCCTTCTGAACTTTCACACTAAAAATCATGTAAAAGTTATAGATAACGATAAAAAACAACTGTGCAAAAATGATATATTTTTGTTTTGAGCAATATGAATATCAAACCTTTAGAATCAAACACTAGTTCTAGCTACGTATCAAGATGAGAATAAGGTTTTTCACACTGGATAATTTATGAGCTTTGTAAGGACAGTCCAAACGTAATTAGTAATGTCATTAGGAAAATGGCTTACGGTCTCAACAAAAGTCAGTGCGTTCCGTGGATTTAGTAAGCTATCGTGCTTAAGTATGTGCCAGCTCGAACTGGTATATACATATATTCCAACATCATTGTATATAATTCATTTTGACTAAGCCAATACATATCCGCACATGGTTTGCCTTTCTTAAAGTACTCTCAAACTTTACAAGGCAGGTCGATAATAGGATGTGGCTTTTTGAAAGCATAACCGTAGATTTGTCATCATTTGACTCCTTTGTAACAGCAAATGACACATTATTAAAACATACAGCATTTAATAGGTGGGGAATTCGTGTGAAATAACTTTGTTTTACCGTGTTTCTTAAGTGCTGGCTGCATTTTAGCAGCTTTATAGTCTGAAATGAGTGTACAGCTCGTAGGGTCCAACCCAACCAGATGAATAGCTAGGATATTAGTCTCTAAGAGTGTTGACTAACTTCTCAAAGACTAAATATGAAAGCATACTCAGGCAATACCAATTTATATTTCCCATTAAAATCAAGCAGTTTTTAATTTCCCTCAGTTAAATGCAATTAATCTTTGAAAAACCTGGAACCTTAGCCGAAGTAATTCAACATCTGTTTGTAGAAGGGTCAACAATTAAGTGCATTATTGTTATTTAGATCAATAGGTTAGCGTTGCTATCTGTTGCTGGTAATACTTCCGTGATGTTTTCTATTTTGTAGAGTCAATCAGGTGGTACGTCAGTCAAATTAAGGGATCAACTCTTGATGATACTGTCGATGGTAGGTTTTCTTTCGTCCCCAGTGACTTGGTTACACAGGTGACAACTTCACATGCGTTGAGTTTAACGAGTCTGGAGAGTTATTAGCTATCGGAGACAAAGCAGGCCGTGTCACGATTTTTAGAAATAATAAAGATGTAGGTTTTTCATATTTGCCATCAGTGTTTACTCTTGATTAGGTTGGGTTGTATGATATGTATTGCACGTTTACGAGTCATGAACCAGAGTTTGATTACTTGAAGTCTTTAGAGATCGAAGAGAAAATCAACTCAGTTACTTGGCTTCAAAAATACACTCCTGCTCATCATCTCCTTTCAGCTAATGGTAAGTATTTGTTTTACTCTAACATACATGAATATATATGAAAGTGTTAAGCCAATCAAGGCGATTTTGTTATCGTATTTTATTTTCCTTACTACTATCAGTACACCTGCCTTCCTACTATCAACTTGTACTTTTGCCTATTATGTGTAGTGACGTAAAGTATTCGTTTGTATTTGTTCCCGACCGTAGCTGCTACTTTGACATGGTGGTCGGGCTTGCCTATCGTGATGACCCAACCGGGTTATATTGGCCGGAACAGTCAGTCAGTCAGTCCGTCAGTCAGTTGCAACGTAGAACTTCGTACGTAAGTACATCAGTTCATGTCGCCATACCACATCAGCACAGAGATATAATTGTCAATTCAAATCCAATAGTAGAAGAGGTAGTAAAGGTATTAGAAGTAATCGTAGACGTTAGAATTAGAAGATATTATTCACGAAGTGTGATTCAATGAGATAAGTTTAGAAAGTAAAAGCTAGAGGTGTTGAAGAACTCAGAAGATTAGGATTTGAGAGAACACAAAGAATAAATGCACTGGCGCCATTGCGAACGATTTTGAGCCATGTCATTCAAGGTCTCTAACCATCGATTATTATCATCTCGCGGACCCCAACCAGGTAGTCGACAATTACCGACATGGCTAAGTCCACTCGTCAATGACTTCATGGATTTATGCCATGTTTTGGTTTGACCGCCCCTAGCTTTCTTCCAACCTATTCCTACACCACAAAACAAAGCTCGACGAGGCAGTCGGTGGTTAGGCATACGCAACACGTGTCCCAACCACCTCAACCGATGAAGTTTCACCACTTCATCTATTGATCTGCCATTCTTACCTAGTACCCGTTTCCTAATAACAGCGTTGCTAACTCGGGTGTCCCACGATATACGAGCAATGCTTCGAAGACACCTATGATCGAAAACCAATAACCGTCGAGTATCTTCTACTCTCATTGGCCATGTTTCACAGCCATAAAGTAAGACAGAGCGAACCACTGCGCAGTACACTCGTCCTTTAGTCAGCAAACGGATATCTCGCCTACGCCATAAGTGACGCAGGTTGGCAAAAGCCAATCGAGCCTTCTGTATCCGTGCCGAGATTTCGTCAGTCACCAGGCCATCAGCACTGATGAGACTCCCAAGATAGGTGAAGCGGTCTACACGTTCGACCACTTCACTTCCTATCACTAGTTCAGGTGCCGATGAAACCCAATCTTGAAGCAACATTTTGCATTTCGAGGGGGAAAACCGCATCCCGAACATGCTTGCATTGTTGCTTAGCGTAGTCAGAAGACTCCGCATTTTTTCAGCGTCTTCACCAAGTAGGACAATGTCATCGGCATATTCTAAGTCAATAAGCGAGCCACCTGGTAAAAGGTCTACTCCTGAAAATTCAGACGAGGATAAGGTAAGTTCTAGGAGCATGTCTATGATAAAATTGAACAAGAATGGAGAAAGTGGACATCCCTGACGGACACCACTTGATGTAGAGAATTCCGGTGACAGTTCGCCATAAGCCCTCACTCGACCAGTGGTGTTCGAGTATAGGGCTTGTATAAGGTTAATGTACTTCTGTGGTACACCTTTCAATGACAGACACTGCCACAGAACCTCACGGTCCACTGAGTCAAATGCCGCCTTAAGGTCCAGGAAAACAACTATTGTAGGACGCCTAAATGTGTGTCTGTGTTCCAGGACCTGTCGTAGTGTGAAAATGTGGTCTATACAGCCACGTCCAGGTCGAAAACCAGATTGGTTTTCCCGAGTTTGCTCTTCACGAGCTTTCGTTAAGCGTCGAAGTATTATTGAGGCCAATATTTTAGATACTATGTTAGTTAGGCTTATTCCCCTGTGATTGTCACAAGAAGACTTCTGTCCTTTCTTATAGATTGGGACAATCAAGGATTGAGACCAGTCGGATGGGATTGCGTCCAGTTCCCAGATTCTAACTAAGATCTCAGTCAACCTAGCTGATAAAACTGGACCTCCATCCTTTAATATCTCAGGGGTCAGTCTATCAGGACCTGCAGCTCGACCTCGCTTCAGATTTCCTAACGCTTTTTCAACTTCATTAAGACTAGGCGGACTTACGTCGGTTTGCCATTCAGGATGACTGGAGATCGTGGGTAACCGAAGAGTGAACTGATCCCTAAAGTGTTCTGCCCATCGATCCAGTCTCCTGGATTGAGAATGGATAATAAGACCATCCTTTTCCGAGATAGTCTCACTTACAATAGGATTCCTAATACCAGTTTCCTTGATAAGTCGGAAAAGTTGTCTAGTGTTGCCTATCGCCGCTGCCTTTTCCATCGCTTTTGCTTTCGCCACCCACCACTGCTCGCGATCGTTACGTAGGCTTTTCATAAGTCTGCGCCTAAGTTGACTTCGTTCTTCATCATGCTCAGAGCCAGGTGGGATGAGTTTTCGGGCATCCATCAGATCGGTGGATGCTACTGAGATCCACGGTTTCATTCTAGCCTTATGGTCAACCTCACTAGCAGATATCGCTGCTGTTTCCACAGCCTTTTTGATATCATTCCATCCTGCTTCCGGATGGGAATCGCTTAAATGGTCGCCTAACTGTCTTTCTAGTTGTTCCTGAAATATATTTTTCGCCTTATTATCATTAAGCAAAACCCTAAGAGGCTTTCTTACGGTGTCTTTCCTACGTCCAGTAAGCTTCAAACAAATACGCGCTCGCACTAGGGCATGATCTGAATCCAAACATGTGCCCCAGAACGAGCGACAGTCCTCTATCGAACCCCTCCATCGGTGGCTGATGGCGATGTGATCTAGTTGAGTCCAACGTTGAGACGACTTTGGAGGTCGCCAGGTCAACAGGTGCTTTTCCTTATGTTAGGATATTCACCAAATATCCTAAGAATACTATTTTTAGAACTGCAATCCTATTGGTCGAATTCTATTGGCCGAAATTATGATCGTTCTTACCGTCAGGGTCAAATACTTCAATGTTATCTTTTATTGGTCATCTGGACAGTCAATGTCATTCAAATGTTCTTTTCTATTGGTCGTCCTAATTTGTCAATGTCACGGACGTTGATGCTTTTTCTTATTCGACCTTAGTGTATAAATACGCGCTATCTGGAAGACTTAATAATTCCGTTTCCCCTGCCTACTTGTTCTGCTGTTTTCGACCCAATAAACATCTTCCTGCCACGGTGTTACGTTCTGATTTCTAGGAGATTTGGGAAAGCCTTTGGGTCGTTTTGTGATATTTGAATTGGACGCCGTTAGGACTGAAGATTTACGTAGCCGCGTTTACAACAAATTTGGCGACGTTATCCTTTAAATCATCTGCTAGAAAAGAATGCCACTTGGAATTGGTCTTCTCAATGTGAATCAGCTTTTTCGAAACTTAAAGCCATGCTAAGCTCCAAACTACTCCTAACCCACTACAATCCGAAACTACCCATTGTGGTTGCCGCTGACGCTTCAACACATGGACTGGGTGCTGTGCTCTTACATGTTTTTCCCGACGGCTCAGAGAAAGCGGTGGTACATGCTTCCAGAACACTGACACCTGCTGAAAAACGTTACGGTCAAATCGAGAAGGAAGCGTTAGCCATAATTTTTGCAGTCCGGCGATTCCACAAACTAATTTATGGGCGCCGTTTCACATTGCTCACAGACCATAAGCCATTGTTATCAATATTTGGATCAAAAAAGGGCATCCCCGCCCATTCTGCTAATCGTCTTCAACGTTGGGCGTTGGCATTACTGGGGTACGACTTCGACATCCAGTATCGACGTTCCGAAGATTTCGGCCAAGCTGATGCGCTGTCCAGACTTATCAGTAGCCACTCCACCACTGATGATGACACCGTCATAGCTACAATATTAGCAGAAGAGGATCCCAGTGCTACACTCTTAGCGAATGCCATTCGAGCAATGCCTGTAACCGCTGGAGATATTCAAAAAGCTACCAGGGACGACCCGTTTATTCAAGAAGCGATCACGTATGTTCAGAGCCGATGGCCAGTTAAGCAGCTAAGTGGTGATATGAAACATCTAGCGAATCGTCGCAGTGCTCTATGTGTTGTTAACGACTGTCTGATGTTCGGTGACCGTGTAGTAATTCCAACAACCCTACGTCCCAAGGTCCTACGCCAATTTCACTCTGGACACCCAGGGATAAACCGTATGAAATCCATCGCTCGGAGCTATGCATATTGGCCAAACATGGATAGGCACATTGTCGATTTCGTCAGAAGATGTTCACAGTGTCAAACAGCTGCGAAAAATCCCAAGTTACTTTCAGTACCCTGGCCAAAGTCAGAAAAACCCTGGTCACGAGTGCACATTGATTTCGCCGGACCCCTAGATGGTACCACATATCTGATACTGGTTGACTCTTTCTCCAGATGGCCGGAGATATTGCCGATTTCCCCACCATCTACAACTCGAACCATCAAACTTCTTAAGCAGATCTTCAGTCAGCATGGTCTTCCAGAAACAATAGTAACAGACAATGGTTCGCAGTTCACATCCAGTCAGTTCCAAGAGTTTTGCCTGCAAAATTCGACCAAGCATGTCCGTTCTCCGCCATATCACCCGCAATCTAATGGACAAGCCGAAAGGTTCGTTGACACACTTAAACGAGCCATGTTTAAAGCAAGAGGGGAGGGGACCACATACGACATCATAGAAAAATTCCTTTTCGTGTATCGGACGACCCCACATGACTTATTACCAAACTACAAATCCCCTGCTGAGATGCTCATGGAACGGAAGCTACGAACAGTTCATAGTGCGATGACACCTAAGCGATTGGCCCAACAAAGACCTCGAATGCAGACGACGCGAATGCCTTATGAAGTTGGTGCGAAAGTGTATGCGCGGGACTACAGACACGGATATGATAGATGGATAGAGGGTGAAGTCACTAAGAAACATGGGAACGTAATGTATGATGTCAGGGTGAGCCGAGATATTTGGACCAGGCACCATAATCAACTAAGGCCAAGGGAAGCTGATAAAAA